ACTCAAATCGGACTAATCACAAACTGTGTAAGAAACTAGCTAACGAAAAGCACCAACATAGGTAACCCTTTCCGGCGGAGCCTCCCCGCCGTAGGCCAATATAGGGAAACCCCCGGGTCTGTTTTTTTTTAAAAGATACTATTCTTATTCTCTTTATTTCCAGCCCGGAAGCACAAAATATTGGCGTTCAGTCCTGAACACATTGAGTGATGCCATAAACAACAAGTTTACTCCACTACAAGACGACGTCCATCCTCTCCCCTGAGTTATTTCGAATCCTTTTCTCTTAGTCTTTAAAACGCGCATCTTCCATATACGTGCTAAGAAGCTGTTTTATTAAAAGGCTGGGAATAAAATATATAAAACATTTCAATAATTGAAGTATTTGTTAGTTTCCCTGAAAGCAGAAATACGTATTATCAAGTGAGAATAACGGGACAGAGAGGGTAAGGCCTTGCAGTCAGTTCCGCAGGCCAGCGGCTTTGGAAAAATATGACAATCATCGCACCAAACGTTATTTTAGGACAATTAAACGCTGTTGCTAGGATACATAGAAAATGTTAAGTGTCATTGTCACTAAGGACCAGGCAGGGTCCGGGGATCGAGGTCGGCCGATTACCTCCCAATTTTCAGCATTTTTTCTCTATCAGATAAGATTACGATCGGTGGTATTTTTAGTAAAATAAAATTAATTTCTTAGAATTTTGACCACCCCCCTAGTTTTTGGTGCTATTTTGCCCACGTGAGACGGAAAATTTGGGTAAACTTCCACGACACATTTTACTTACTTGGTATTAGCGCTATTCATTTATACGAACTGTACATACTTTCCAGCCTATAACCAGCTCATGTCTCCAATATAAACGAATTTGGTTAAAAATAACTTACTTTGGTGCGCTTCCAAATATCATCACTTCGTGGCTATCGCAAGTAAGAAGAATTTTGGCAATTTTCCAATCTGGTTTTCTCTAAAGTGCGGCAGTTTATATCCAGATCAAAACTATTTTTTATTAGTCTGTCATAAAGTCTTTACAAATACGCAAACTCTTATTTGGCAAGTTAAAATCTCGTCGCGTGAGCTTTCTCACAACTTTAACCTAATTTCCTAATTTGCATAATTGTCGTTTTTCCCGGAAATATTTCACGCTTGATTAATTTGCGACATATTCCCGGTGTTTGTGACTAAGAGCAACACATTACTTTTTCAGATAGGTGGCCTGCATATTATACTATACTTCACTGTCAAACTCTTTGAAATATTGAGCGGTTCTGTTATTTGGTAGAAGTACACTTCAGGGAAAGATAATTTTCTATCCCTTATCTGATTATCTGCAGACAGCTGTCCTGTTCAGCTGATTTTGCTGTTTTCAATATGGATGTTAGTTTAACTTGTTCGTTCAGTTCTCCTGATTCTGCCTGTAGTTTGGAGGGCTCGGGGTCGCAGGTTGTACCCCTGTTGGCGTGCAAGCTAGACATCACTGCACATCTACTAAGCCTGGGAGTCAGCTCAGGGCAACTGCGAACCGGAGACGAAAACGTTAATGAGGTTGACCTGATCCTGAATAGAGCTGGATACTTTGTTACAACCGATAACGAGAAAATGTCAATGACAATATGCCCGAGACAAAGGAAAAAACTAACTACAGACTGGGCTGGCAGAAAGAGCAACACATGCTCGTATCCAAGTCATCGAGGACCGCGGAAAACTATAAAGAAACCGCGCCGCGTAAACGCCACCTTGTCGGAAGAAATTTATCAATTTCACCAAGCCACAGTTCCCATTGGCTCGGGTAAGTACAAATCGGGTGCAGCCAGACCGCAGCCTTAATACTTAGAGTTGTAGTATGGACTTCACTGGTAAAAACAAACGAAACCTTTATTTCTAAGGTACTTATTTTACTTTGTGCTTATGGATATGGTTAGTACATAAATTTTATTTCTTTATCGGAATATGCTAAGGGAATGAAGCAAAACGTAATCCGATGCCATTGCTTTTTGTATTTGAATGAGCTTTTCTCTTTTAGTCGACTCGTTTAAATATACAAAGGCATTGCCTAATTCTGTTGCATTGTCTGATATCCTTCTGACTTTTTCGGAAAAGGGGAGGGAGAGGGGACGTTGGGGTAGTGTTTCGAGGTGGATTGAAGTGGTAATTTGCTAATCAAGCACCCCGCCTGCAAGATGACGCCAAATGGGAGAGGACGGGGGAAGAGGAGAACTAGGAGGGGGAGTAGAGGGAATGGGAAGTTGGGTGGGGCTGCAAGGGACGCCCAAACACTCCTTATTTCACTCACCTTCCTTTCTTTAGCTGTTAAGAAAGCAAATTACCGCACTTTAATTTGGTCTTACGTGAGTGACACAAACTACAGTCAATGGACATAAGTATTCGTCACTTTCAAAAATAACGCGCGGAATTCTTACCCGCGTTGTGCACACTACGCGGGGGAAAACTAGATGCGGAGCGCGACATCGGTCAATAAAGGCGGGAAAATTATGTAAAAATAAAAACAAACAAACATCCGACTAAGAGCAAGAAAAAAAATTCAAACTTCCCATAAGGAAACGAACAAAAGCTGTTTGTGTTTTGACACATCGTTCAGTCATTTATTCAACAGTAACTGCAACGGGTGGTCTTTAAAAAAGATCACAGTTATTTTGTTTTGCTTCTGATAAACAATATTCAGCACTCGTGAGTCGAAAAAGTGCTTAACTGTCTGCAGAGACAAAAAAGTTAATTGTTACTTTGTCAGAATCCGTTAAAAACAAAGCTGAACTGTCAAGACTGTTGAACATTCTAAGAACGACATCACAGGTGGAACAAAAGACAAATTTGATGATCTGGGGATGTTTTTGATATGATGGTGTTGGAAGTGTGACTTCAGTTGAAGGCAACAGCAACTCTGCCAAGTACATTGACATCCTAGAAAATAATGTATGGCCAGTAGTTGTTTAGTACTTAGAAGACAAAGACTACATGTTCATGGATGGCAATACGCCAGTTCACAGCGGAGCACACAATGTAAATAATTATAAAGATAAAGCAAAGTACCCTTAATGAAATGGTCAGCACAGTCTCCAGATTTAAATATAATAGAAAATATTTGGCTTTACATCAAGAGAGAGTTACAAAAGTCCACTGAAAATATCGCTACCAAGAATGACCTTCTTCGTGAAACCGAGGGTGTGTAGCGGAAGATCGAATTAGATTGAATAAGAAAACTTTACCAGCCCATTCCTGATCGCCTAGACAATGTTATCAAAATGACGGGTCATCTTACTAAATGCTAAGGTGATTTTAAACTTAAATTTACCGTAAACAAAGTTAAAACAGCGCGCGTAAACGCCGCCATATTGAAAGTGACGAATATATATTGATGATGGGTATGATAACGATAACCATAACGACGATGGTGACGGTATAAAGGGTCAATCACGTTGATGGTGATCGTGTTGGTTATTGTTGTCAGTATTGTTAATCTATTTATCATTATCATTTTTTATGACAGCTGTGTGTTCCAGCTGCCGTGGAGCACACTACAAATCCCGTAAGGCTCACGGTTTCATGTCTGGAGAGCAGGTAAGCTAGTACACATTGGCCATTCACAGCTTAGTGTAACTAATATAAGCATAGTGTAACTGACCATATAATCAGAGGATGTTTTGATACCACCAACAGGTGCACTGATATCTATAACAACTGACAACATGAATAACACGTACCTTTGTTGGTTTTCCTGTATTTTCTTCAATGGGTAGCCATTTGGAATCGTTAAGTTGTGGTCGATTTCCAAGAGGCTTGGGACCTAGTTATAATGATAGCCATGTCTAGAGTTTTCAGATCGCGCGTCGAGAACAATTACTCGACTACATCTGAATGTTTTCTGAATAACAAATTGGTCTTGACCAGTGCTTGAAGAGACCAGCAACAACAAAGATGCGAGGGCACCCTTTGGCAGCGGCTTGGAAACACATATAGAGTTTCCACAGTTACATGTATTGGAGATCTTTGTGGAATTGTTGACGATCTTGTCCATAATTTGCTAATCTATTTTATTACGCTTCAGGATCCTTACTCAGACACCTTGGTGATTGGAGACGAGATCGAGGAGTCTGATTCTGCCACTGTCTCTGTCATTACTGTTTGTGAGGAGAGCACATTGCCAGCCACGGTGTGTGCAGCGGTCTCAAGCACTGGTGAGGGGTCAGAAACAGTCTCTTTGCAATCCCATTCGTCCCAAGCCTCGATACCAGACGAAGAGATTAGTTTATGGGTTGACGAGATGGAGGAACAAAACAGCAAACGGCAGAAATTAAACGAAGCTGTCCACAGCATCTCAGGTGGCCGCTACAGCCCCGTAATGTCCAGCCTGAACACGACCTGGGACGACGTCTCCGACACCCAGCAGCGATATTACATCCGCAAAGCTAAGGAGACTATAGTGACTTCATTGTCTGTCATCACTCCCGGTCAAGAGGAACTGGTTTGGAAGGCGTTACAAACGGAGGTACTTTTGGATCCAAACAGAGACAACCAAGGAAAGCGCAAGCGTTTTGATCCCAACTCTGGTCTTGTCGACATTTTAGTCAAGGCCTATGAGCAAGCAGGTCATTGGCAAACAAAGCGACAGATCCTTTCCCTCTTTGCAGACGACTTTTCAAGAGCTGAGCTTCAAAAGATGATCCCTGGGCTTTCCAAATGGCGCATCGACCAAGCTCGCCAACATGCAACAGAAGCAGGGAAAGGCCAGCCTCTCCCTGAAATTCCTAGTTTCCGTACAAGAATTGAGCATGAAAAGGTGGATCATTTCATTGAATATATCTCCAGACCAGAATTTGTCCAAGACGTGGCGTTCGGGACAAAGACTCTCAAGCTTGACTCGGGGAGAAAATTGTCATACCAGCAGTCATTAGGACCGTCATTCCTTCACGCATCATCAGACAATATTTAGACTATTGTAAAGAACAAGAGTTCGAGCCGGCGAGCCAGCGTTCTCTACCGAATGATTGAAGTGTGTTCGGCCTCTATGCAGAAATCCCTTCAGGGACTTGACAACACCACTGCAGAGGGTACAGAGGCTTTTGATCAACTCTTTTCTATGTTGGAGGCCTTAGCAGATCAGGGCATCAACGTTACTGCCACTCAGAAATTTCTAAAGGATGCAAAAAGGTACTTAAAGAATGATTTCAAGGCACACATCGGACGAGGAGAACATTGCAGTGATCACTGTACGGTCCACGCACTAAGTGACAGTAGTGCATGGGAGTTCAGGGGCGAATGTGATCATGAACATTGCTACGAATGTGAGCGCTGTGAGAGTCTAGAAGGAGTACTGAAACAAGTGGCAGAGATGCAAGACAAAGCGGACATGACGGAAGAGGAGAGGGTTAGGTGGAGGTTTGAGTACACTGAGAGTGTGCGCAACATACAAGCGTGGAAGGCTCACTTACTACGGTCAAGTAACCAGGACGAAGCCAAGCAGCATATTCTCGAGAAGCTAGACGACAACTCGTGTCTTGTTATAATGGACTGGGCAATGAAGTTTCTGCCTGTGCAATACAGAGAACACATGAGTGATTTTTTTGGCAAGAGAGGAAGAAGCTGGCATATCAGTGCAGTAATCACTAGAGCAACAGTGGAGAGCAAGCATGAAGTCGAGTGTTTTGTACACATTTTCAACAACTACACCCAAAATAGCTTTGCAGTTCTTTCAATAATAGAGGACTTGCTGCAAAAAGTCAAACTGGAGTATCCAGGGGTGACAACAGCCTACCTCCGATCGGATAACGCTGGATGTTACCACAATGGGCCTCTGTTGTTAAGTCTTAGAGAAGTAGGGGTGAGAACCGGTGTCAGGCCAGTGCGATATGATTTCTCAGAACCACAGGCTGGCAAGGACATTTGTGATAGGAAGACTGCTGCTATGAAGGCACACATAAAGCGCTGGGTCAACGAAAAGCACGACGTCGTCACTGCTGAAGATATGAAAGTAGCACTAGAATCCCATGGAGGTATCAAAGGGTGCAGAGCAGCGGTCGGTGAGGTGGACACGACCAGGGAAAGAAACAAAGATAGCAAGATACCAGGCATTAGTGTGTTGAACAATTTCCAGTATGAGGAGTGTGGCATCCGTGTGTGGAAAGCATACAACATCGGCCCTGGACGCCTCATCCCTTATAGCGGTCTTGGAGTTACACCACAAGGAGATACTGGAATAAGGGTGGTAAAGCCATTTGGTCAAGCTACACACAGGGGAAGCGTGGGTGAGAGCGTCAGGCACCAGTCCGAGATCTACTCTTGCCAAGAGACTGGATGCGTCCTCACGTTCAAGACCCAAGCAGAGGCAGACAACCATATGGACACGGGCAAGCACTGTCTTGAGGTGGACTGTGAGTCCATGTATGACCGCGTTAGGAGGAAATGGGCGGGAATTGTGACAGGGGTGACGTTCGCTCCGGATGTGCCAACAACCTCATCGCAAGGTGAGAATAGTGGCAGCGCTTTCAGAGAACATGACCCTAGACCATTGGGGTGGGCTCTGAAGGTAACAAAAAGAACCACTAGAATGACTGATAACGTCAAGACCTTCTTGATGAAGAAATTCGAAGAGGGTACAAGAACTGGAAACAAGGCCGATCCTGTACGGGTAGCGAGGGAGATGAAGACCCTCAGAAATGAGGACGGAGAGCTCACGTTTAAGCCTGAAGAGTGGAGGACTGCGCAGCAGATCAGTAGCCTGTTTTCACGTCAGACAGCGGCGCTGCGTCTTAGGGGTATTGATGCGGAGGAAATCTCGGAGGAAGACATCGAGGCTGCCGAGTCGGAAATAGCGTTTGACACCCTTAGAAGTTTGGTGATGGATGATATGGGCAAACCAAGCCATCCAATCATCGTGGGCATTAGCAATATCTGCGAACTTGTAAAAAACAAGAAGCTTGACTCACTCAAACTGGCAGCTCTGAAAGAAATCTGCAATCAGCTACACCTGACGACAAGCGGACCACCGTCAAGAAAAAAAACTTTCTTTGAGGCCATTCAAAAATTCTCTGAGAGTTGCACGTGTTTTCAAAAATAACGTTACATGGTTTTAGTAGGGAGGATCTCTATGCTTCTACCCCAATCTTCTCCATTGGGGCCTTTTAGATAGGTACAGGGAGACCCTTAGATAACAGGGTTTATAAATACTTGTAAATTAAAAAAATCGTGAGCAATATAAGACTGCAAACTGGATGAATGCTATGGTAAACACAGTAAAACAAAAAACTGCAAGGATTTTTACATACTGCTAAACACCAACTGTCCGTCGCTATGCTTGAATACTATCATGGATGAAACCAATTCGGTTTTCTTCCTAGACAAAAGAGCAGTGCCGGAAGATTTCAGCAGCAATGCACAAGGATTGATCAACTTTAGTAACGTTGTGACAAATCTATTACGTTATAATGCATTAAGTTTCGACTCACTAATTTGCGCATCTGTTCGAATTGCATTTCCTCTGCCACGAATTGACTGTCATTTCGGCAGCCTGTTTGCCTTCCATCACACGTGGAGAAAACATTAACTCTGTTAGTCTCCAAAACTATTCACTACTTTACAAAACACAATCTTGAGCCTGTCTGGCATATTAATTTGCATGTCCATGTTTAGTGAAATGACAGAATTGTTATGTTCGCCCCAAATTTGTGGACTGTCAACGTCTGCAAGATCGAAACAACAATTAGTTTCAAAAACAAGAACCTCATAAAAATTAATAATTAATTACGTGCAGGGTTATCATCGCTTGTATATAATATCAAAAGACAGGTAAAGTTTTCCCGGGGAAATTCGACAACATGCAAATTAGTTAAATTTGAAGAAAGCTTACGGAATGGGATTTTGACCTACCAAATGAGAAAATAGGCCGATGAACTATGGCCACTTATCTGAAAAAGTAATGTTTTTCTCTTAGTGATAGTAAAGAAGCCAATAAACGCCTGCAACAAGTCGCAAATCAAGCGAGAAATTTTTCCCGGGAAAACTACAACTATGCAAATTAGGAAATTAGGTTAAAGTTGTGAGAAAGCTCACGCGACGAGATTTTAACTTGCCAAATAAGAGTTTGCGTATTTGTAAAGACTTTATGACAGACTGATAAAAAATAGTTTTGATCTGGATATAAACTGCCGCACTTTAGAGAAAACCAGACTGGAAAATTGCCAAAATTCTTCTTACTTGCGATAGCCACGAAGTGATGATATTTGGAAGCGCTCCAAAGTAAGTTATTTTTAACCAAATTCGTTTATATTGGAGACATGAGCTGGTTATAGGCTGGAAAGTATGTACAGTTCGAATAAATGAATAGGGCTAATGCCAAGTAAATAAAATGCGTCGTGGAAGTTTACCCAAATTTTCCGTCTCACGTGGGCAAAATAGCACCAAAAACTAGGGGGGTGGTCAAAATTCTAAGAAATTAATTTTATTTTACTAAAAATACCACCGATCGTAATCTTATCTGATAGAGAAAAAATGCTGAAAATTGGGAGGTAATCGGCCGACCTCGATCCGCGGACCCTGCCTGGTCCTTAGTGGCAGTGACACTTAAATTCCCTTACAGCTATGCCACCGTTCTTTTATCGCTTTTAGGTCTCGGACCTCGCTGCCGCTCTATCTAAAGTTCTTTAAAAACAAACGGCCTTTGACAGTTCATAATGGAAAGAAACAACCTCATTGAACAACAAAAGCAAGACTTAACCCATAGAAAATAATCGTAATGAAAACAGTCCTTAACACTGCTATCACTTTATTCAATCCTCAGAATGCTGGAAATTACGCTTCTGAGAATTTGGTTTTCAATTTTTTTGTGAACGGAAGCATGTCCCGAGACTGACCCCCTAAATTACAGGAGACCTGACACCCCCTCACTACTGCCTTTTTCAAATAGCCAGGCTAATCATGTATTTATTGGATAAATAAATTATTAACATCCCGGAGGCCTATCATGTAAAATCACCTGTATTTCCACATAAAAAGCGGTCCTTACAATATGTAACATGCCATCATTAAAAATTTGCATAGGTTATAGCATTATTTGTTGTTGGCATGAATGCCACGAGTGATAATTCAAAATGGTTATACGAGACAATTTTGTGGTATTTATGCCAAATATCACGTACATTATTTGTTCATACTACTACCCGCAAAAGGCTTGTAATTTCACATGTAGGTATGTCAAAAAAGCTGAAACTACGTATACCACTGCTCTAGGCCAATCAAATTGCAGAAATTTCTCATGTCGTAGTATAATGGGAAGTAATACAGCAAATGACGTGAACACGTAATTTCAATAACCTTGTCCGAAAAGCAATATTAAAAAATTGAACAAAAGAGAAAGCTAGGAGTAAATTGGAGTATGAATGATTCCCGGTCCTAAACTGAATACAACTTCGAATAAAATGAACAAAGATTACCAAAATAAGTTTGCTCCCGACATTTGGTGTTTATTCGGAGATATCATGCACCCTTTTGTATTTTGACATTTTTATATATTCTTATTTAAAGATGGATATTACAATTTTCCAGTTTTCACAAAGCCAAGTGACGAAAATATCCAAACCTGAGTCATGCAACTTTTATCCACAGAATTCTTTTAATTTTATTCGTTATCATGACCGTGTGCTTTTTATCGTTGACGAAGAGAGTTGGTTTGACTGCATGCAGAACTAACTCGTGCAACTCCGGTAAAGGTTGGACTATTTGGATAGAGTAAGACGACGTGGAGCGAGGAGAGATAACGGCTGTATTCACAGGCCAGGTTATTAGACTAAACTTGTTGTTGGTACTGAAACTTGGACTAAGGTGCTCACGCCGAAAGTCAATTCTAATTCAATTCATTTCAAGCCGTAGGCCCGAATCCCGAAACATCAAGTTTGGATTCCAGTTCGAGTTCCAGTTCCAGTTCATTATGAGCACATTGTTCAGGCGGTGTGTGCGCTAAATAAAAGATTGTTTTATTACTAATTTTTTCTTGTAACTGTTCAGCATAATTTTATGATATAAATTTTTTAATATATACTGCTGTTGATAGCCGCAGTTTGTTTTTCAGGCTTCAGGTATATGAAAGGGTAGGGATTTCACTTGTTGGAGAATACGACAGGGTAGAGAAATCTGTCATTTGGGTTTGTGAAAGGGACAAAGGGCTAACAGATGAATTTTATAGCTTTATAAAGACAGTGTATTATTTACAGCAGTTCAAAGGGATACAAAGTTCTAAACAAGGTATGTGAAAGGAGTACCATTTGTGACCCTCCACAGGAATGTGATGCTAAAGGTGAAAGCACCCTCACGACACGCTTGCACGACACGCTTAGCGTGCCGTAGATCACGGATATGCGCATATTAAATGAAAAAACAAAGACGGACACACTTGCCTTTGTTTTGGTAAATTTAACACGCTAGACCTTTTGTTTTTTTGTAGCGTGCCATATGTCACGGTAAGTGTGCGAATTATAGCACGGTTAGCGTGCAATTTGGGTAAGACACGCTGAACACGCTTGATTACTAAAACTGCTAAGATGATGAAATGGCTTGGTTTTCAGCGGATTTAATCAGCATTGATAACTGGTCGAAGTGAATCAAATATACCAATTGGGACTGTTTGGGAATTTGATCGTAACCGTGGCAATTTGAAAATCACGACGTAATGGTGGTCTAGCCTGGAATTAACGCGAGATCAGTGTAAACCAATTCCTCCTGCTGTCGGCTGTTGACCGGAATCGCAAAGAGGCCTGCTATCGCATGCGAGGCACTGAAGTTATGTCGCCTGAAAATTATAGTTATGCCACCGGAATATTTATTAGCAGTAATGCACAGAGAAATGAAGTTGAATAAATTAGTTTAATGTATTTCTTTAAGCCATGCTGAGACGAACGAAGGTAATTAAAACGGAGAAACAAAAACTGCCTAGAATTTTCTATAGGTTGGGGAAGGCTAAACATTTCTAGATGACCGTTTCATGCATGTACAATTTTCGAAGCTTATCTAATAAATTCCTTACGATTTTCTGAAGTTTAATTTTTTCCATTTCATTCCTCAAGTTAAGCTATTTTTCGTAGAGAATTAGGGAATCCTAAAAAATACGATAAAATTCTCACTTTCCTAAAACTTTCAATTGGAAGCTAAATTTTTCGGGAAAATACTGCTGAAGCCCAAAAGACTGAAGTTGTCCTAGGATGCAAGGATGCATTTAGCGTCGAAGAACTGTATTTTTGGTGAGCGAGAAACTGAAGATAATCAAGAGCCAGAAAAGTTCTTTCTAGAAGAGAGTAGTTCTGTGTAAAACTTTGGTTGTAAATATAAAAGCGACTGTTTTTTGTATGTCTTATCTTAAATTCCGCTTTGTTTTAATTTAGTCCTCAAGGCACTTCCAAGTTTCAGGAGGGTAACAAATCCACTCGTGCATCAAAATAGGCATTTAAAAGACGCAGTAAACCAGCGCGACATAATAAAAAATTATAATAGTCTACTACACAGCCGTTTTCAGCGGAAGGGGCGTTCCGTAATTAACTTCATACGCGAATGTTTGTTTAGATGGTTGTAAAACAGACGGCAACCACAAGAAAGACAACTGGATGATTACGGAATTTGGACAATAAGGCTGAAGCATGTACGCGATGTAATATTTCAAGAAGAAAAAATTTGCATACGTTGTTTAAACACCGGTTTCGCTTTTTGTGTTATTGCCGGCCGGATCAATTAAGCAACGTTGAAATCATTTTGGCATTTTGGTACATCTAGAAAAGCAGGCCGGTTTTCATTTCATCACTACGATCCTTGCAATCGCTAAAAAATAAATACAATTTAGCGATCCTGTCACTTGATGATTTCTATCATATTTGATCGCGATTGCTGCGATCGGCAGGAAAGTGACTTAAGTCCGAAAGATCCGTGTTTCTGAGAAAATTGTAAATGTGTTTTAAATTAAGGAAAGTTAAGATAACCCCTGCACAGCTTCGTCAGTAAACATTTCTGGAAAGAACTTTGATTTTGCAATGCTAATATAGTTCTATACATAAATCCAGTAGGTCACACCGTTCACAG